AAAAAAAACAAAAAAATTAGAACACGTCTTTTAAAATGTTTGATAAAGGATACAGACTGCTGCTGATAGATACTTGATAAGTTCTTACTGTTTGATGGATTAAAGCGATGAGGGCTGTTGATTCAGAAGTGGATAATTGAATCTGAAATAAAAAAAAAAAACAAAATATTAGAACACGTCTTTTAAAATGTTTGATAAAGGATACAGACTGCCTGATAGATACTTGATAAGTTCTTACTGTTTGATGCATTAAAGGCGATGAGGGCTGTTGATTCAGAAGTGGATAATTGAATCTGAAATAAAAAAAAAACAAAAGATTAGAACACGTCATTTAAAATGTTTGATAAAGGATACAGACTGCCTGATAGATACTTGATAAGTTCTTACTGTTTGATGGATTATAAGCGATGAGGCTGTGATTCAGAAGCGGATAATTTTTTCTGGAACAAAAAAAAAAACAAGAGATTAGAATGCATCTTTCAAAATGGTTGATATAAATAACACTAAAGGAGGTAAAGTATCTGCAGATTAAAATTAAATATATAAATCCCAGATTTAAACTATTTCATGGATTGATTACATTTAGTGCTCACACTTTGTCCTTGATTTTTGTATCACGGACAAATTTTTGTAACGCCCTAAAAGTGATGAAAATAAGTTAATGCATCAATGTAAGAACTTATGCATATCAGAATAATAATAAATTGGCGCAATGCTATATGGATTGCAAACGGCAACGGCAGCAGTTGTTTATAATTGACAATAGTTTAATGATTATATGATTATACATAATGTCGAATGATTCAGTTTATTACATTCTTGTTTAATAGTGGATTATTGTGTTAGTGTGTCAGTCAAAACTAGAACTACGAATGCTACCTACAAAACTTTCTACTACCCCAAACTACTATATTAGCATGCAAATAATTATCTGAATCATGACATTACATAATACGCTAACAAAGCAGTACTTAAAAAAATTGATTATATAGCAAGAAGTTGTATTTGTCAAATAGATACGATCGCGCCAAACTACGTATGCCGTTCACAATCTAGTGTCAATGTGACCAATTGTTAAAAGAAATTGCGCAAAATTAAAATACAATAGATACAAATGCGAATGAATGAATGAGAACCCGACAATGATTTGTTTAATTTTGCTCGTTTTCATAACACACTTATTACTATTTGGGTACTTCCCTGGGTCCTCTCCTTTGGTCCTGCAGTCCTCCTGCGTTGCTGCCACATCACACAAATGAACGAGTTGACAACCGCGTGGACCAATCAAGTCGCGGCGGCGGAGCCACTTGACACGGCTCAAAAATGACATCGTGCGCAAAAAAATTCGAATTGGTCCGAGATTAGATAATCAATAAAATTAAAATAATTCAAATTTTATTATTTAATTTTAATTAATATTAAAAAAAAAATAAAAACTAAAAATAAACAACAGATAAATGCACAAAAAAATAAATAATTCGTAGAAAAAATGGCAAAATTGAAAAGAATAAACGAAATAAGTAATAATAATAAATGATAATTGATATGAATAATTGATATGAAAAGTATATAAATAAACAAAATAATTGAAACGAAGAATAGATAAATGTATAAATCCATAAGTTAAGAAGCTAGTGGTTCATGACGCTTGTGCCTTAAGGCAAATTGCTAGAACTTCCCATAACGTAAAAAAATCCATCCAGTAATATTGAACATTTTCAAATAGATTATTTTAAATAATGTCACTATCATTATTCGTATTTTATAAAAGACTCAAAATTTTGAAATCAAAAATAAAATCGAAAGCTTCGGTATCTCAAAAAGTACAAATTTTTCATATAAGAAAAAAATTGTATCCACAAACAAAACACATACACATCAAATTTTTCCAAGGTTTGCCAAAACTTTCAGAAACTTTTGAAACGTGATGATATGCAAAAATTTTCATTTTCGATTTTTGGCCGATTACAATAATCGTAGAGGAACTACCGAAAGTTCTTAATATTAAATAATGGGTAAGTAAAAAAATAAAAATAAACAACAAGTAAAAATATCAATTGTATGCATAAATAAATGAATAATTAAAACTTGTGAATGAGTAAGTCAATAATGAAAAAATTGAACTATTTGTAAGCGGTATTTTAAGACACGTTACATGATCTTTCGTGCGATGCAGTGTAAATATTTGAACTAAAATTAATTTATGAGTGATTTATTAGTACTCCAACTAGATTTATTACACATTATTGTAATATAAGGAAAGTGAAATATATTAAAAAAAATTAAAATAAAATGAAAAAAATATGAAAAAATTCTTAATGACGATATCAGAATATTAAGATGAATAAATAAGCAAATGATTAAATAAATTGCATACCTTGAAGTTTCTAGGCATATTCCGTTTAATAAATAGGCGTTTCCAGAAAAGTCTTTTTGATCCTTCAGCAGATATCGTCTCTTATGGGTTGCCATTCTTAATTGTGGTTCATCAGCGACCTGTATCAAGAAAAAAGTATCAATACAGAGCCTATATAATAAATCTTGTACAAATATTTTGAATATTTAATTATTTTGAGATATGATTATTATGTGATTAGTTTTACATATTTTATTTGAACTGTAAGCATTATCAGTTAACAATTAGGGATGGAAGCTTAGAGTATGTTTCTAGAAAGACTATGTATTGATCTTGTCCTTGTAGTATTTTATAAGTGTATATTAAAGCATAATTATATTCTAGGTTTCCCAAAACAAAATAATTGGACTTGTATCTTACGAAATAAGAAATGCTTGTTTTGTTATCTTACCGATAGTTAATAAAGCTAAGAAGTCTACTGCAGCAAGCAAGCTAGTAGGATAATACGGGATTCTCATTCCAGAGTTGACTTATTTTTTATAATTCAATTGATTATTGTCAAGCTTCTATTTTATAGCAGAGCTGAAATATAAAATGTAATACTAAGTTTGTATTACTCTTTGTATGTCTTTATCTGAAATTAAATATTGCACGTATCTTTGACTAATTATTACAGTAATTCTTGTTATGAGAAATAAAATTATTTCAGTGTTCACATGACGACCTAGCCTCAAAGCATTTGGCCTAGGAAACTTTAAATCGTAGCAGCCGTCAGCAATTATATGTAACATTTTAATATTATGTCTTAAACAAGTAAAAAATCAGAATCAGCACAGAATTTTCTTGTCATCAGGGGATTGTATAAAACTACAGAGGCTTTTATAATTGAAAGAGAAATGTTAAAATGTATGAATGATAATTATAATACCGAAATTTTTTTTAATATGTTGAATACATTTCATTGTGATCATAATATTCATTGTAAAATGTAAAAACTTTGTTTCCAAAATCATTAAATTAAAATTAATGCATCAGCTTCATTTACTTACAAAATATTGCATATAAGAAGCATTGATCGTATTAGCATTATAGAATCTTTCTAAAGAATTACTTCTAAAGAATTTGAGAATAATTGAAATCCTCAAAATTCAAAATAGAATCACATTATTATGCTCGAACCTGGTTTGACAATTATTTTTGTTCATCACGAGCCAGGATCGTTAAGCAAATAAATTTTGTATTCGCTAGCGATTCAGATAGATTTCCAATTGATGCGATATAGGCAAATATAGAAAAAAATATACACCATTAAAACAACTCCCTAATGAAATTGAAAGACGATCTGCATCCAAGCAATATCAATGGTCTTTTTTATAACATGTTTTCAAATTGGGCAATATGCCCTCTTTAATTCTGTCATTTTATTAATTTAATTAAATTATTAAATTAATTATTCATTAGTTATGATTTTCTACACAATTTGTGTTTATAAAAAATTGGAAAAATTTCCTGGTTTAATTGCTGAATGTATATATTCAAATATACAATTTTTTATATCAAAATTTATCCATCACATATCCAAATTTTACCATTTTTACCATATATATATATATATATATATATATATATATATATATATATATATATATATCATAAATGTTTTTTATTTTAATTTTAAATTTAATTGAAGCAATTAATAAAAACTTAGGGCAAGCAGTTAGAAAATAACTAATACCATTAATATTATTTGGAAATAAACTATGAGTTAGAAAAGCTCATTTGATCAACGATATTAGTAAGCGGAAGAATTTTAAATACATTTATTGATAATTTACAAACAACTAAAATGATCTTTTTACTTTGTGGCTGTGGTATAGGTTTTCACTTGGAAGTATATAAGTGACAATATATTTGTCAGTGAATGTAGCTTTTACCCGTTATTGCAGCATAAATAAAAACATTAGTATCATAGAAAGGGTAGTAATAAAATTCATCAGATGGAGATGAGGCAATGTTTGGGTTTTAAGCAAGTGTATTAAGACAAAGTGTAAAGTTGTGTATGGTTCTGCAATTTGTAGCCACTTGAGTTCTACACGAAAATAGCAATAATGACTTAGCAGCAGACGCAATGCTCTCGTTACTGACTTGGTTTTGCGTTATCTTTCTTTATTTATAAATGTATAGACTTATTTTATTTCGTTTATTTTTTGTTAAAATAAAAGCGCGTGCATAGAGAACTGCATACAGAAATAATTCTGTTCGAGCCAATTCAGTCGCGAGTACTAGCACACGTTGAATGTAGATAGATTCTCAAAATTATAAAATATAAATATGTAAATGCATGTATGAATAGTTACTAACGAGTTGTTTTGTTTGATTGATTTGCCTGCTAAATCCATGCACTTATTTATGGTTAAATTATGGTTAAATCGGTTAAGTATTACATTTCTGACAATTGTTATTGTGGTAATCTTATATGATAAAGAGATTGAATTGAAATCTGGTTTAATTACATATTACGTAGTTGATTAAAAATTATTTCTTTGGAAATTTCATGTAATATTTTATTAAATATTTTCGTTTTGCTCATTTTATTAACCAATTTGAGAATTTAATATTCCTAATATATTTAAAATTCAACAGTCAACGTGTATGACTATTATAATATTCATTATTTTGTATTTTTCAAATATGAAATATGAATTTGATGTATAATATAGTTTATTACAAAGAGTTTTGAAATGTAGTGCTTTAGTTTAATCTAATGCATGTGAATGCTATGAAGTACTTATAGAACATTAGACAGTGCCTAATTTAATTTAATTTATTTGAATTATATTTTGTAATAGAGTATTTTAAACTAATAGACTCAAAAATTAGAGTGAAAATACAATGGAAGGATTAGTACATTTTAAATTCAAATTTGCACTATTGTGAATGATTCAATATGGATATGAATGCTTAAATAAAACTTTTTTTAGATTGTTATTTCGACTACATTTTTTACCTAAATTAAATGAGTCTAAAAGCATTGGTAAATTGTGAATTTCAATGTTTCATTGAAGTCGAGAAGCAAAATATCGATAATGCACAATACATGAATATGTTAAGCAATATAGTGTATGATGGGTTTATTAAATTTACTACTGTAATGTTTTAAAGTTGTATAAATTACTTGCAAAGAATTTTAATTAGTTTAAAAATATAAAAAATATGATTTTTTAAAGTATTTTTTGAACACGACTAGTAATGCAGCAATACAAATGGTGAAGGTTTTGAAGTAAAATTTATAGGTTTCATTAAAATATTCATTAATAATTGCCTTGTTTTTCTGTATACAAACTATAAAACGAAACTACTAAACTATGAAAAGTGTTTTTTAAATTTTTGATATTTTCGTTTTTTTTTAATGGTAAAGAATTTGAATTTGTGGATGAGTCTACTTCATACTTAATACAAGTCTATAAAGACACTAAAAATTGAAAAATCGCAAGTATCGTATCAAAAAAGACAGTTTTATACAAGGATACAACAAACAAATGAGGATTGTGGTGGTGAAACACCTGCAAAAAAAATAATTAAATTTCGCAAAAATCTTGTACATATACGTATTCATTGTTGAATAAAGATGATTTTTTTTAAATTCCACACCAGATTACCCACGTAAGGCAAAACGCCACTTGCACTTAGTTTATAGGAAAAGATTGGTAGTCTTTTATTTATGCATGTGGATTTTCGTCCTTCTCTTCTTTCAATTGATATTTTTATGTTTATGATAATAGTAAATGTTAGATAGATTAGATAATGAATTATTTATAAAAATATTTACTAGAATATGACTAAAAATTTGACTGAAATACTATATATATATATATATATATATATATATATATATATATATATTTATGGACATATACGTTAGAAGGTTTTTAACTAATGAGCACTTCTCCCCATCATTACGAAATGATGGTTTTTTTAATCATTCTAATCGGGCGCTCCGTTCTCTCAAAAATTGTATTACCGTTTTGGCACGTTTTGCCCAGTATCTTCGAAATGACTGGACCTGTCTTCGCCAAAAACTAATTAGCATGTCTTCCATCAATAGGAATCGAGCGTTTTTTACTTCCCGTAGAGCAAGTTATAGTAATCGCAAAAAAATCGAAAATGAAAATTTTTATGTATCTTTACGTTTCAAAACCTTCTGAACATTTTGGCATACCTTAGAAAAAATGGATGTATGTGTGTGTGTGTGATTTCGGAAACACGGATGATGCGATTTGAATAATACAAAAAACATTCGATTCGTATTGATAAGGAGATGTGCTGATTAGTTTTTGGCAAAGGCGGGTCTAACCGTTTCAAAGATATGGGGTAAAAAGTGCCAAAAAGGGTAACTCAGTTTTAAGAGAATGGAGCGTCCGATTTGAATAATTCAAAAAACATTTTACTTATAACAATATGAAGAATTGATCAAATTTTCATGAAGGTAAGTCTAGCGGTTTCGGAGATCTAGTAAAAAAAAGTAAAAAAAATGCCATTTGACGGTAAAAAATGTTCATTAGACATATGTACATCAAATTATCAGTTACTTTATAGAGGTTTTAATAATAAGTATAAATTTTGTTTACATTCTCATGCGTTCCGCAACAGTGTTTATCCGTTAGACGGCGACGCGGCGCTTACGCGCTTCGATATTTCGTGTTTATGCAGTTAAAGCTGTACGATTGCTTTGAAAAAAGTTCAGAATTTCCAGAATATTTCAGAATAAATTTCTTCAAAATGTCATTTTTTTTCAAAAAAAAATGAAGTTTTTGTCAAAAATTTATAGATTCTCAAAAATCAAATTTTTTCAGAGTAAATTTTTTTCAAAAATGTAAATCTTAAAAAAAAATAATTTTTGGTACGGGAAGTTCCAGCAATTTGCCTTAAAGCACGATGCCATGCGCCCCACTAGTTGGATCATTCAATTGGGTGAATCGTGCACCCGAAATCGTGGGCGAAAAATTAAGGTATGCCAAAATGTTCAGAAATCTTTAAAACGTAAAGATAAGCAAAAAATTTCATTTTCGATTTTTTTTTAGCGATCTCCTATAACTTACCCTACGGGAAGTTAAAAAAAATCAAATTCAAAACATCACAAATATTGAGAAACAGTGGTACACGCGTATCTCTAGGTTTGTCAGAGATAGACGGTTCCTCACTTCCAGTGCGTTTAAAGATAGTTAACTGCGCGAGCCAAGCGCATCGTATTCCTTCTTTGCATTCAGTCTCTAGCTGTTGGCTCTAGAGCGCGGAGTTCGGCTGATTTTTACGTTTTATTTTCAAATCAATCATTTGTATTTTTTTTTATTTTAACGATATTATCTTAATAATATATTGACGTGCATTCTGTTGAAAAACTCGTAAAGATTTTTTTTTAATTTTGAGCAAATCAGTCGGTGGAAACATGAGGGAAATAGTGCATTTACAAGCCGGACAGTGCGGAAACCAAATCGGTGCTAAGGTTCGTACAAGATTTGTTAAAATATTTAATCATACAATTAATTTTTAGTTATAGTAAAATGTATTTTTAAATATTATTAATTAGAAACTAGTGGGGCGCATGGCATCGTGCCTTAAGGTAAATTGCAGGAACTTTCCGTACCAAAAATAACTTTATTTAAAAGATTAACATTTTTTGAAAAAATTTACTCTGAACAAAATTAGATTTTTCAAAAACTATAAATTTGACAAAAATTACCTTTATTTGAAAAAAAAGACTTGAAGAAAAATTTATTTTGAAATATTTGGAAATTCTGAACTTTTTTTCAAAGCAATCGTACTGCTTTAACTGCATAGAGACAAAATATCAAAGCGCGGATAAACATTGGTACGGAATCCATAGGAATGTGAACAAAATTTATAATTATCTACAAAATATTTAATAATTTGATGTGCAATGTCTAATGATCATTTTTGACCGCCAAATGGCATTTTTTTTTACTTTTTTTTACTAGATTTCCGAAACCGCTAGACCTGCTTTCATGAAAATTTGATCAGTTCTTTCATTGTTAATACAAGTAAAATGTTTTTGAATTACTCAAATCGGAAACTCCATTCTCTTAGAAACTTAGTTACCGTTTTGGCACTTTATGCCCCATATCTTCGGAACGGCTAGACCTGCCTTCGCCAAAAACTGATCAGCATGTCTCCTCATCAAGACGAATCGAATGTTTTTTGAATTATTCAAATCGCTTCATCCGTGTTCCCGAAATCGTCGACTTTTAATATAATTTTAAATAAATTTCTTAAACATTTTCTTCGTATGTGTTTCTGTATATGTAAAATCTTATTTGCTGAAGAAAGTCATACAAATTATTTTAAGATTCTTCCAAACGAGTAAGGTTCTCACACAAAAAATAATTGGTTAAAACATTTATTTCTAATTATATTTGAAATGCTATTCTAAATTAAAATTTGTTACAAAGAGCTTTTTGTTTTTCGAAAAGGAACTGGAAATGAAAAATACTGGGAATGTAGTTTTTGATTTAGTTTAGAGTTACTGCAGAGCTTTTTTACGAGCTTTTGGAGCTTTAATATCTTCAATATTCACTTAACAGTTAAGGATACGTTTTTAATATTATACAAACTAGGTAGTTTGAAGTTTTCAGTAAAATATTAGGCCTTAAAAAGATTTGATTCAAAATATCGTGATAACCTTATAAATCTTGCTAATCAAAATCAAAAATTATTTTATGGTTCATCTTTAAACAAAAAATGTTTAAAACTTATTTCCTGCAGATGTTTGAAATGCATATATGAACAAAATAAATTTCGTTACAAAGCTTTACATTCGTGAGAAGAAACTGAATATGAAAAAAATGCTTTTGGAAAATATAAGAATAATTTTTGCATTTGAGCTTATTAAATTTATTAGATTAATAATTAATAGAATTGCATAACATTATAACAAGGCTCAGAATGTTTAATAAACAAATGTTAATTAGATAACTAACTAAGTTCATAATTGGAACTTTGATAAAAAATCATTTACAAAAACTGCATGTATACATAAAATTATAATTTTGACAAATTATTATATTGAACTAACAAAAATTGTACTAAAAAAATGCAATAAATGAATAGTGTTTTTTTTTTACCGTTCTTATATTTGAACTCAGTTTGAATAAAAAGGTTATATTAATAATTTAGTGAAATACATACAATCTTCCGTTAGCAAAAATGAATTTATTCATCACAACTTTAACAATCGCTGAAATTAAGTATGATGATCTTCTATTATTCGATCTTAAGATCTGTTACTGTAATATGAAATTTGAATGAACTGTTATAGTAACAATTGGTAAACAAAAAAATTTCACATTTATGCCAAAATTCTAGTAAAAAAAGTGCCAACATGCGTCATCATCCATCAATTCCAAAATAATTATAAACATTTTTGTTGATATGTAAATCGTTTTTTTAATGCTTTTATTTTACAAGTAGAAATGTTGTGAGAGTTCAGTTAGTCGCAAAATAATCTTTGTGAATGTTTACAGCTTTGTAACCGCTTTCAGATAAAACAAACGTCATTCAGATTTAAAAAAAAGCAAAAAAACAAAAAAACAAAACATCTACGATAAAATATTACAGGAAATGCCGGCTAATTATTTTCTTTTCCGACACTAATAACAATGAGTCATAGAATAATTTGTGTAACTCTTCAGCAAATTGGGATTTAAAAGATTATAAAGCAAGAGGAGTATTTTTTAGAGAAAGGAAAATGTATAGAAAATATTGTAAAATAATTTTATACCAGTGGTAAATTGTATTGACAAAGATCGGACAGGACATCCTAAAATATTAAGATTACCAGAGTTAGAAATACCCGTTTTAATCCCTAATGGGAAAGCCCAATAAAAACCACGCCAACTTAAAGAGGTATTCTGTCTAGAATTTAAAATAAATTGTTCTTTATATATTTTTCTAGTTCAATCAAGAATATGTGTACAAGAAAATTTCTCAAAATTTAAATTGTTAGTTATAGCTGTTTGACCACGATAATCCTCCTGTTTCCTTCCTCTGCAAAACCTTAAACGCGTTTTTCTCTTTCTTTGTCTTTTTCGATATGATACCCACGATTTCTCGACTTCTACTAAACCGATTTACTTGAATATTTAACAGAGGCTTCGTTATAGACTACTTTTCATATGAACTACGATCATACTCAAATTCCTATTTTAACTCTATATTTTAAAAATTTGAAAACATCAGAAAAGAGTTTTAACTTTTTTATCAGATACCCACGATTTTTTAACTTCTACTGGATTTACTTGAATATTTAACAGAGGCTTTGTAATAGAGTTCTGAATTTCAAGATATTTTTAAAAAAATCGAGAATATTAAGAAAAAGTAAACTTTGTAAAAAAAAGTAAATATTCTTAGATAAACTTTGAAAATATGAAGTTTCTTAACAAGAAAAGTAAAAATATTGTTAGCCTTTGACTGTCTTATTTATGTCTCTAGACCAGAATCCCCTCTTAATGTTGCAGTTCAGATTTGAATGAATTTAATGCTACAACGGTACTAATTATCAATATCTGATCATTAAATGATTTAATTGCAACTTTTAGTATGTCATTACAAAAGACAAAGCCTACATGCGGCTATTGAAATCTCTATCGATTCTTCAATAATGAATCGGCATCTACGGCTAATTAATGCCGACGAGTCGTATTAAAACGACAATGTCCTAAAGCAAAAACAAAAACAAAAGACGAAAAACATAATTCAATCCTCTTGTTTCCTTTTATAAATAAAACAATAGAGTTCAAATCTTCATTGTCGGTTAAGCACCGAGCAGTACATCGATGCATAAGATTTTGCAAACATTTACTGCTTCGAAATTTCAGTAGAACCTCGTTTAAGACGATCATGGTTAGGGGATCGTTCAAGTATTACGTAAGCAGATTTATTACAAATAAAATACCCCCATCCCCCTTGTCAGCAAAAGTAAGCAAAGCTTTTACCCCCTACCCCCATGCTTACGTAAACATTTTGCAATTAATGTAAAAAAATAAAAATACTACTTATGACGTAATCATCATCCAGACTCCCCTGTCCCCATTTCAACCCAAAATAAGCAAATCAACAAAGTCAATGACAAACTAACTATAAATATTTATTATAGAAAATATGTACTACTCATTATTTTTTATTCGAAACTATATAAAAATAATAAATTATTTTTATTCCTTAAATGCTTTTTGGCTGTCATTTCAGTCAATATAAGTAATACATATATGCCAAGAAAATTATTATTTATGACTTCACTTAAGCATTCACCGTACAACTTCCTATGAATTGTAAGTGTGGGCAATGACTCACAAAGTCTGGGAATTTTAGCCGCTCGGGCTAGACGTTAATTGACTCTGCTTGTAAAAATAGCGAAGTGCATTCGAGATAATTGTTCCGATAAGTATTTCATTTTTTATTAGATTTGGAAAATGCGTGGTAAAGCAGTGAAAGCAAATTCGAATAGAAAAGAGGGCAAATATGTGCCTGCGTTCTAAAGCTCCCTAACGTACCCTACTTCCCGTAGGGTGTAAGTTGCAGTAATCGAAGAAAAAATCTGGACATTTTGGCATAACTTAGAAACAATTGTGTGGGTGTGTGTGTCAATGTATCGATGTTCGGATACAATTTTCGTCGACGTTTTCGGGAGCATGGATCAACCATTTAACCAATTTAAATTACGGTGCCACTAGTTATAAATCAACTAGGTTATAAAACATTTTTGTACTCGAACTGAACAATATGACACTTCAACTCTTGACCCTTTTTTATATTGAGCTTTTATTGACTTCAATAATTTCGTTTTTATTGCTACTAATAATCACTAAAACAGTCCATTTTGATTAGAATTGCTCCTATTTTTTAAATTAAAATTGCTCCTATTTTTTTTAACTAAAATTGCTCCTAAATTTTATTTCAAATTGCTCCTGTTTTTAATTGAAATTGTTCCTATTTTTAACTTCCCTTATGGTAAGTTATTGTAATTGTTCAAAAGTCAAAATTGAATTTTTTTTACATTTCTCGACGTTTGAAGGTTTCTGAACATTTTGGCATACCTCAGAAAAAATGGATGTGTGTGTGTGTATGTATGTATGGATACAATTTTCGTCCACACTTTCGGACGCACGGATCAACCGATTTGAATGGTTCAAAAAACATTCGATTTCTACTGATAGGAAGATATGCTGATTAGTTTTTGGCAAAGGCGAGTCCAGCCGTTTTGGAGATACGAAGCAAAGAGTGCAGAAAATAGAAATCGAGTTTTTGAGAGATCAGAGTATCCGATTTGAATGATCCAAAAAACATTCAATTCGTAATGACGGGGAGAAGTGGTGATTAGTTTTTTTTGGCAAAGGCAGGTCCAGCGATTTCGGAGATACAGAGCTAAATGTGCAAAAAATGGCAGTTTTTGACAGAACTAAGCGTCCGATTTGAATGATTCAATGAAGT